GCGGCCACTGCACTCCAGTCTGAGCAACAGAGTGAGACTCCAACTCAAAAAAAAAAAATTAAAATGGTAATATGTGCTTAAAATTTACAATCAAGGCACATTGTTGGTGGGAATGTACATTGGTACAATCACTGTGGAAAACAGTTTGGAAGTTCCTTAAAAAACTAAAAACAAAACTACCATATAATCCGTCAATCCCATATCCAAAGGAAATTAAATCTGGATCTCAAGGAGATAAGTGCACTCCCATGTTCACTGTAGCATAATTCACAATAGCTGAGACAGAAGCAACCTAAATGCTCACTGATGGATTAATGAATAAAGATAATATAGCATATAAATATAATACATACATCACATATATATGATATACACACATATCACCCAGTCTTAAAAAGAAGGACATCCTGTCATTTGCAATCCTGTCCATTTGGATGGACCTGGAGGACACTATGCTAAGTGAAATAAGCCAGACACAGAAGGACAAATACATGATACCACCTACATGACTAATCTAAAATTGTTAAACTCAGAAGCAGAGAGCAGAATGGTGGCTGCTAGGAGTTGCAGGGGGAAACAGAGAAGTATCAGTCAGAGCACAAAGTTTCAGTTCTATAAGATGAGTACGTCCTAGAGATCTACTGTATAGCATAGTGCCTACAGTTAATAATACTGTTGTATGCTTAAAAATATGTTAAGAAGGAAGGTCTTATGTTAAGTGTTCTTATTGTTAATAATAAAAATAATAATAAATAAGATGGCAGGAGTAAACTTGGAGTTAAGGAAAGGTTGATAGCACAGATTGTGGTGATGGTTTCACGGGGGTATACTTATCTCCAAACTCATCAAGTTGTATACAGTAAATATGTACAGCTTTTTTTTTTTTACAGAAATAGTACAATGAATATTTGTATATCCTTCACTTAGATTCACCAATTGTTAGCATTTGGTCACATTTGCTTTCTTTTTCTGTTTCCACAAGAACCATTTCAAAATCAATTATAACACATCATGAAATCACTTTTAATATTTCAGCATGCATCTCCTAAAAATAAGGATATTATTCTATATAGCCATGAGCATAATTCTCTAATATTACCTAAGATGTAGCCCTTAAACTATTAAAAAAAAAATTACACAGCTATTTAAAAATCCAGGGTCCAACCAACGATTACACCTTGCATTTGGCTTTTGTGTCCCTTTGATCTACTTAAACCTAGAACAAGTCCCTGGCTTTTTTTTTTTTGCTTTAGGACACTGACATACTTGAAGCAGAAGTCTCCACATTTTAAAACTTACCTGTACCCACTGCCATCTCACCTTTTCCACTTTCTACTATTTTAAAAACGCCATAATCTCTAAATTGCCGGTACTCTCTCCTCCTTCCCTCCCTTAAGAGACAAGCACCTTAGGGGTGGGGGGACTTCACTCACTTTTGTTTCTCAGGTCTCTATTCATTTTTAATCTGTTTCAATCATATTTCTTCCCCCTCACTCCACCAATGCCGTTTTCATTAAGGTCACCATTGGGGGGGGGTGTGTGTGTGTGTGTGTGTGTGTGTGTGTGTGTGTGTGTGTGTGTGTGTGTGTGTGTAGTCAGGGTCTCACTCTGTGACTGTGTGTGTGTTTAGTCAGGGTCTCACTCTGTCACCCAGGCTGCAGTGGCACAATCACGGCTCATCGTAGCCTCGACCTCCTGGGTTCAGACAATCCTTCTGCCTCAGTTTCCCAAGTAACTGGGACTACAGGTGCGTGCTACCAGGCTTG